GATCCAAGATCACTTAATTGGATCATGGTAAATCAAATGAACCAGAGTGGATTCATCAGTTCATTTGATCTACCATGATCTGAGTGATCTCAAATCACTGATCCTGATCCGGATCATCTCAAAGGAATGCACCCCTAGACTGTGTAAATTTTCTAGCCAAGTTAAAGGTTGTGCACCATAAATAATTTAATTCCATTCTATTGTTTTTCTCCAGTGTTTTGAGTACCACCCCAGAAATAAACTAAGGAATTCCAAAACTTCTGAGAGCCCATTCCTCCCTACCCTGCAAGAAGAGGTTTAGTTCCGGGACTACACGACTGAGATGTGATGTGAATGACTTCTTAAATGCTAAGCTACGCAAGAGAGAAACCTATGGTCCCATGGTGATTCTTTGCCAATGGATCAAAGACTTTTATCAGCTCTGTAAATAGATCATGCAGCCATTGAACCCGAACTGATTTGCATGCAAACTTGCCTTGTTTTTATTTTTTCTATCAGATGACCAAAGTAATGCTATATGCTTTGCAATATGCATTTAAGAATCAAATAGGACAAACAAAAAAAACATGAAGACAAAAGAGAAGGAAGTAGAGGTCCAAATGGTGACTAACATCAACTTCCTCCAAAAGATATCCATAATATTGGCAAGAGATTAGCCTGCGTAGCAAGCATTTCTGTGCGGTTTAGGAGTAAAGAACAAGGAACAAGAGTCAAAGACCGTGCTAAAAATGGCGTGGTCAAAACCGAAAATCCCGTTCCTTGGTTTTTTCTGCTCCGAAACTAAACAGAAACGCTTGCTACGCAGGCTACCAAGAGATTAGGTTTTGAGAATTAATAAAATGATCACCAGAGAGAAATAATTTGATCTTTTATCAAATTCTCTCAACACATTCTTTAAGGAAACGTATAGAGATAAGTTTGGAGAATTGGTTTAGTGGATATTGGCAGGGGCTTAAAGGGTTAATGGCTGGTCACCTAATCAGTTCCTAACCCTGCCCAGCAGCTGGGCTTAACTTAAGTGGCACCCTAAGTATCACTAGGCTTTGCGAGACACATATTTCTAGGTTTTATGGGCACCACTTAAAGCACTTCTAATGCACTGCAAAATTATCACTATGTACAACAACAATACAAAGCATGCTCAGGTTACTAAATAACACTGTGCAAATTTTCTACTTAACGTGTCATTAATTATGCATGTTAATTAATGCATACTAATGTATTTCTCTAGTGTTTTGGGTACCAAGCCCATATACGGGATTCCAAACTTTTTCACTGCTCTGGCACAAATACACTTTAGCTCTAGTTTTCTTCTCTCTGAAAGAATCATGTGAGCTTCAACAGTCGTAGCCATGTCCATGGGTATTTTACCATCATTGTTGACAAAATCATGATGAGCACCTCCATCAAACAAAACCTCCAAAGTGTCAGTTAAAAGATGGATGTTGCTGACAGCTAAATGAAGTGGAGTATTTCCCTTGTTGTTGATGGCATTAACATTAAATCCTGCATTCAAAAGTAGCTTTGTGACAACATGGCTGTATTGTCGATTTGTTGAACACTGGACGAGGTGCAAATATGTATTGCCATCACAATCTAGAGAATTTAAGTTGCAGAGAGCTTTCATAAACAGTTCTGCATTTAAGAGTTTCCTATAGTCACCACAGTTAAGCCTACCAATCATCCAAACAAGTTCCATTAAGGCATCATGCTCCCATTTTAAGAACCATTCAGGAACTTCCCTTTTTTTTGGACTCATCTTTCTTTGCATCTCAAGTTCACAACTCCAAGCAAGAATTACTTGATCCATCCTTTCAATAAGAAGATCCTCTTTTGCAAAAGTAGACCATACTTGCAATACATTGAAAATTATGTGTGGGAAATCATATGAAGCTTCTTCATGGCAGCTCTGGGCTATTTTGATTGCATGTAACCGCAATGAGAGATATGTTGAAAAATTATTTCTCCGGAAGTAATCTAATGAAACATTTCTAATCGGTTCAAGTAAACAACCTTTATTGTTTATTCCAAGGATTCTTTCTCTGATGACAAGGCTTTCCATGATGATAGCATTTTCATCACCTTCTATCTTATCAAGCTCCTCAAGAGTTTGACACTCTTTTCTGTTCTGATAGGCTTCCACAGGTTCCATTTGCTGTTTCAGCAATGGATGGGAAGGATCAGCAAACCTTTCTATCATGCCACGTTTGATGTACATGAGTCCAAGCTTAAAACTAGAAGGCTGTCGCAATGTTAAACAAACAGAAGCTCCAACTAGCTCTAGAGCATCAATCTTTTTCTCTTTTGTTATTTCTGGTCGATGGTTGCGTAAAAAATACTCTACCATTGAATAATTACCCATTTTACTAGCTGCCAGCAAAGGCGTCAATCCCTGACTGTTACACAGTTGGGATGCTCCAGCATTCACCAAGATGACAAACCTATCATAAGAATTTACAGCATAGTGAAGAGCTGTGTTACCACTTTTGTCTTGAAGATCTAAATTAGCACCATTCTCAATAAGCAACCTAAAGTTTTCGGATCTTATATCACCACCTCCATGGAAGGAAGCTCGCATCAGGAGGGTCTGATTCATCTCATTTATTCTTGCATTAATATCAGCTCCACTTCTAATCAGGGAACTTAAAATTTCACACGAAGTTTTCAAACTAACATCAACAAGGCATCTTTGACCACATCTGTCTTCAAGATCTAAATAAGCTCCATTTTGAAGAAGATAGTTTACTACATTGAGATTGTGACAATTAACAGCTCGCATCAAAGGGGTGCCGTTATCTGCACCCTGAATATTAAAATCACTCCTATTATTAAAACAACGTAAATGTATGGCATCAAACGAACCCCAATAAATTGCAACATAGCGAAGGGCTGTATAACCATTTTTGTCTTGTAAATTTGCATCAGCACCTTCATCCATGAGAAATTCTACTGCATCAGTGTGTTTGTATCGCACGGCCATCATCAGCGGGGTGTATAAGCCCTCTGAGACTGCATTGATATCAGCGCCATTTTCAAGCAAGGAACTCAAAATCTTAACATTGCCATTAACAGCAGCAACCAATAAAGGTGTACAACATATTCTGAGCGAGACAAATGAATACCCAGGTGCATCAACTCTAAAATCTCCTCGACCTTCAGTGTCAGCTCCATACTGTAGAAGCAATTTCACACGATCGAGATCTCCATTTTGAACAGCAAATATTAACGGTGTGATTGTGTGACCTTCAGTATTTGCAACTGCATTCAAATCAGCTCCACTGTCAAGCAAGCAATTCAAAATCTCAACATTTTCATTAACAGCAGCAACAAACAGAGGTGTGCAACCTTCAAATGAAACAGAGTGAAATGGATGTCTTTTAGAAACATATTTGAAATCTCCTCGACCTTCAATGTCTGCTCCATACTTTAAAAGCACTTTAACACTTTCAAGGAGTAAAGAACAAGGAACAAGAGTCAAAGACCGTGCTAAAAATGGCGTGGTCAAAACCGAAAATCCCGTTCCTTGGTTTTTTCTGCTCCGAAACTAAACAGAAACGCTTGCTACGCAGGCTACCAAGAGAATAGGTTTTGAGAATTAATAAAATGATCACCAGAGAGAAATAATTTGATCTTTTATCAAATTCTCTCAACACATTCTTTAAGGAAACGTATAGAGATAGGTTTGGAGAATTGGTTTAGTGGATATTGGCAGGGGCTTAAAGGGTTAATGGCTGGTCACCTAATCAGTTCCTAACCCTGCCCAGCAGCTGGGCTTAACTTAAGTGGCACCCTAAGTATCACTAGCCTTTGCGAGACACATATTTCTAGGTTTTATGGGCACCACTTAAAGCACTTCTAATGCACTGCAAAATTATCACTATGTACAACAACAATACAAAGCATGCTCAGGTTACTAAATAACACTGTGCAAATTTTCTACTTAACGTGTCATTAATTATGCATGTTAATTAATGCATACTAATGTATTTCTCTAGTGTTTTGGGTACCAAGCCCATATACGGGATTCCAAACTTTTTCACTGCTCTGGCACAAATACACTTTAGCTCTAGTTTTCTTCTCTCTGAAAGAATCATGTGAGCTTCAACAGTCGTAGCCATGTCCATGGGTATTTTACCATCATTGTTGACAAAATCATGATGAGCACCTCCATCAAACAAAACCTCCAAAGTGTCAGTTAAAAGATGGATGTTGCTGACAGCTAAATGAAGTGGAGTATTTCCCTTGTTGTTGATGGCATTAACATTAAATCCTGCATTCAAAAGTAGCTTTGTGACAACATGGCTGTATTGTCGATTTGTTGAACACTGGACGAGGTGCAAATATGTATTGCCATCACAATCTAGAGAATTTAAGTTGCAGAGAGCTTTCATAAACAGTTCTGCATTTAAGAGTTTCCTATAGTCACCACAGTTAAGCCTACCAATCATCCAAACAAGTTCCATTAAGGCATCATGCTCCCATTTTAAGAACCATTCAGGAACTTCCCTTTTTTTTGGACTCATCTTTCTTTGCATCTCAAGTTCACAACTCCAAGCAAGAATTACTTGATCCATCCTTTCAATAAGAAGATCCTCTTTTGCAAAAGTAGACCATACTTGCAATACATTGAAAATTATGTGTGGGAAATCATATGAAGCTTCTTCATGGCAGCTCTGGGCTATTTTGATTGCATGTAACCGCAATGAGAGATATGTTGAAAAATTATTTCTCCGGAAGTAATCTAATGAAACATTTCTAATCGGTTCAAGTAAACAACCTTTATTGTTGATTCCAAGGATTCTTTCTCTGATGACAAGGCTTTCCATGATGATAGCATTTTCATCACCTTCTATCTGATCAAGCTCCTCAAGAGTTTGACACTCTTTTCTGTTCTGATAGGCTTCCACAGGTTCCATTTGCTGTTTCAACAATGGATGGGAAGGATCAGCAAACCTTTCTATCATGCCACGTTTGATGTACATGAGTCCATGCTTAAAACCAGAAGGGCTTTGCAACTTTAAACAAAGAGAAGCTCCAACTAGCTCTAGAGCATCAATCTTTTTCTCTTTTGTTATTTCTGGTCGATGGTTGCGTAAAAAATATGCTACTATTGACAAATCGCCATTTTTACTAGCTGCCAGCAAAGGCGTCAATCCCTGACTGTTACACAGTTGGGATGCTCCAGCAACCACCAAGACGACAGACATATCACGAGAATTTACGGCATAGTGAAGAGCTGTGTTACCACTTTTGTCTTGAAGATCTAAATTAGCACCATTCTCAATAAGCAACTTAAATTTTTCAGATCTTATATCACCACTTCCTTGGAAGGGAGCTAGCATCAGGAGGGTCTGATTCATCTCATTTATTCTTGCATTAATATCAGCTCCATTTCTTATCAGGGAACTTAAAATTTCACATGAAGTTTTCACACCAACCTCAAAAAGACGTTGAAGGCATCTTTGACCATATCTGTCCTCAAGATCTAAATAAGCTCCATTTTGAAGAAGATAGTTTACTACATCGAGATTGAGACACTTAACAGCTCGCATCAAAGGGGTGCAGTTATCTGCATCCTGAATATTAAAATCACTCCTATTATTAAAACAACACAAATTTATGGCATCAAATGAACGGTAATACATTGCAACATAGTGAAGGGCTGTATAACCTTTTTTGTCTTGTAAATTTGCATCAGCACCTTGATCCATGAGAAATTTTACTGCATCATTGTGTTTGTATCGCACGGCCATCATCAGCGGGGTGTATAATCCCTCTGAGACTGCATTGATATCAGCCCCAGTTTCAAGTAAAGAACTCAAAACCTTAACATTGCCATTAACAGCAGCAACCAATAAAGGTGTACAACATGTTGTGAGTGAGACAGAAGGATACCCAGGTGCATCAACTTTAAAACCTCCTCGACCTTCAGCGTCGGCTCCATACTGTAGAAGCAATTTCACACAATCGAGATCTCCATTTTGAACAGCAAATATTAACGGTGTGATTGTGTGACCTTCAGTATTTGCAACTGCATTCAAATCAGCTCCACTGTCAAGCAAGCAATTCAAAATCTCAACATTTCCATTACCAGCAGCAACAAACAGAGGTGTGCAACCTTCAAATGAAACAGAGTGAAATGGATGTCTTTTAGAAACATATTTGAAATCTCCTCGACCTTCAATGTCTGCTCCATACTTTAAAAGCACTTTAACACTTTCAAGATTTCCGCTTTGAACAGCAGCTATTAAAGGTGTGATTGTGTGGCCCTCAATATTTGAAACTGCATTCATATCAGCTCCATTGTCAAGTAAGTAACTCAAAATCTCAACACTTCCATTAAAAGAAGCAACAAATAAAGGTAAATGTCTGAACATGTCATCTCCACCTTCAATGTCTGCTCCATAGCTCAGAAGCACTTTCACACAATCGAGATTTCCATTTTGAACTGCAACTACTAAAGGAGAAACAAGAGAGCTAGACGTCTCTTTTCCAGGTAACGAACAGCCATCAAGAATGTACTGCTTATCTAATACAAAAACTCTTTCTGTAAAATCCAACATATGAAGGACCTTATCAAGGCGCACAGCATTTCCAGATTTCGCAGCCTGAAAGACCTTTTGTTTTGGCTCAGCGGTGTACGTCCATCTCTGCCGGAACCGATAATAAAGCTTATGTGCCATAGTGAGCATGAGTTTCTTCTTTCGGAACAATTTTCCTGCAATTTATGCCTTTCTCTTCAAGGATTAATTTTCCCATTTTCAGGGAGATCGATAATAGAGCGTTTTCTTTGGTATGCGGAACCAGCCACTCTGAAGTGTCAATATGACACAGCTATTTTGAAAACAGAAATGCCCTGGGAACGGTCCTGGGAAATCCTGGGAACGAGCTGGGAACGAGTGACATCACGGACATACCTTATTCTCCTTTTAATTCTCCTTTATTTTCGCGGGACTTAAATTTCGCGAAAATTTTCTCGGCACATTTCTCGAGTCTTTAATTTCGCGACCGCAGAGAAAAATTGTGTGCAGGGAATTTAATTTCGCGAAATAGACGATTAAGTGACTTTATTTTTTCTTTTTTACAAAAATTGTACGTTAATCAACAATTGAAACAAAACCAATATGTTGTCTCTTAGCGGCAGCCGTATTCCTTTAAAAGTCAGTCTTACAGTAATAAAAAAAATCTTCTTGTTCTTCCGAGTCATCATCGAGTATCGAGAGTATCGTTACACGTCCTTCCTAGGAGATCTCAATAGAATCTTCAGTCTCTTTAAATGGATTCTCAGGGGGAAGACTAAACGATTCATCTAATAGTTGGGCGATGCCAGCCTTTTCCCACCCTTTAACGACACTCTGCGAACTGTTGCTGTAAAACTTATTCATTCTCCTACTCGTTTCGTCTAACTTACGTAGACTTCTTCAGGGAGTTTTACAATCAAGTACTAAACGCCTGTATTTAAGCCATAATATGACTAAAAAAAATGATGGTCGCAAGCAT